ACGCTCTTCCGATCTCCCCAAAACCCCAAAACCCCATATGAATACAAAAATTGTAATTTTGGTACTAAATATAATATTTGATATTAGATAAATAAGCATCAGTATAATATTACATGGACCAATCTCATTAATAATAAGAGGAGCCATCTCAAATAAATACAGATTAGCCAAAGCAGAGAATTGCAATTGTTATAGATTCAAACGTTCTCATTAAGCAGATCAGACTAAGAGACCTATTGAATCATAGTGATAGTAGAGGCGCCTTAGGAGAAGTTAATCCAGAGCAGATGTAAAATGATGAAGATTTCAATGCTAAATATGAGGTTCACACTCTTATAGATGTCATTAAGGAAATTAGAGATGAATAAGTAAGATATGCCTTCTATTTATGTTAAAATTTTAGACTAGAAACTACATGACTAATCTTCCTTATGAACTAAAAGTGCATGGAGAAGAATATATAGATAAAAATAACTTACTTTTTGTCAGTAATTTCGCAAAAGACACAGGAGATTACAAGTCTCTAAGCAAAACTGATATGAAAGTCATTGCATTAGGTGTTTAATTAGCAAAAGAACAAGGAGAGTACGAAAAGCTAAAGAAAGAGCCAAAACCATTAAAAGAATTCAGACCTAGAAAGTTTAATAATGATTACAAGAGAATCGAAGAACAAGATGAATTTAGTGATGAATCGGATGAAGAGAAATAAAAGCCAAAGACTGATGCTTTTGATGATGGATTTGTAGAGGTAAAGCAAGGAAGACATGGAAATAGAAAGAACCACTTAAAGCCAAAAACTAAACAGGAAAAATAAGAAGAAGAATAATCTAAAAATGAGGAGATTGCTGAAGAATCAGCACAATAAGATAAGGTCGATAGTCAGACAGAAGCTAAGCAAGATGAATAAATCTAAGAAGAAACTCAGCCAATCTAAGAGTTGAAATCGATGGAAGATTAGAATAAAGACTAAAATATTGTGAAGGAGGAATAAGATGACAATGATGTACCAAGTGATATTGATGATGAAGTAGAGGGTGGAGAATGGATAACCCCTGAAAATATTCATAAACATATTCTTGGAGGTGAAACAGTTCCCATTAAAAGAAATGAGGACGAGCAGGGACCATTGCTAGTGTAGATGATTACAAGTGATTATGCTATGTAAAATGTAATAATTCAAATTGGATTTAAGCTTCTATCACTTGATGGCAGAAAAATTACCAGAGTTAAGAGATTCAAATTACTTTGTAGAGCTTGCTAGAAGCTTAATCTTAATGTAGAAAAGTAATTCTGTGACTATTGTGGATCTCATACACTTATCAAGGTGTCAGTCTATATAAAAGAGGATGGTACAATTACTTATTTCAAGAATCCAAAGCGTAGAGTTATCCTGAAAGGTACAATTTATTCAATTCCAAAGCCAGTTGGTGGAAGAAATTCAAGTGATCTAGTGCTTAGAGAAGATGAGCTAATGACTGGTGAGAAGAAAATGATGATGAAAAAAATAGAAAAAGAATAGAGAAAACTTGCATAATCAGTTAGTGATACAATTTAAGGCAATTACTGGCAAGGAGGTGAAGGATATGGTGCTAGTGTTAGTAATCTTTTGTACGAGAATGGAGCAAAAGGAGGTAGAACTCACAGCAAGATTGCAGGTATGACTGATGAAATTCTCATTGGTTATGGAAAGAAAAATCCAAACAGAGTAAAGAAGAGAACCGGAAACAAATGAGAAATTTTCTCTAGGTTCATCTATTTATTTTGGATTAATTAACTTATTTTCTAAATTTAATTCTATTTATTTTTAATGGGGTTTTGGGGTTTTGGGGTTTTGGGG